CACTGTAAGTGACAGCAGTTAAACCTTGTGTTAGCATTCATGAACTAACCCCGCCTCTAGATCTTGACTCTCAGTCTGGCCGAGCAGACTAACAAGCTGATGCGCCGTGTCGAGGACCGGATCCTGCCTGACTCCTTCCGTGAGGGACTCTAAGCAACTTATGATATATATTTTGAAGGGATCGTTCTTGCGAGATCCATTAGCAGTATCTGCATTGCCTGGCTGGGGTTTCTTTTCGAATGTTCTGTGCCGCACAAATGCTTCTTCTGACTGGACATATATTTGGCGTTTGGTAGATTAAACTCTTATTTCGGAATTAGAGACTCTGTACATAGTTTCACATATCGCAAGCTTTGGAAATATTTTGGTTGTGTGCCTTGGCATTGATTTTCCCTAACAGTCGGTTTCCCTGGCACTAATCACGAAACATGAGAACGCGCTAGCACGTGGATGATGCAAGGCACTTCCCTGTTACTCCCACTAGTCCACTAGTCCAGAAGTATGTGGGGGTTGCCGGTGCACTGAGAGTTCAAACTTGGCAGGAGATATCTCGATGGGCAAGGGATCACTCGCCACATTGCATTCAACCCTTGGGAACAGTCTCAATACAGTATAGATGACTTTGTTTGTACGGAGTGGCCGGTACGGAGTGGCCGGTACGGAGTAGCCGGTACGGAGTAGCCGGTACGGAGTAGCTATACCCGAATGGAATTTGGATAAAATAGTCAAAGACCCCTAACCTTACCGAAAATACTCCATGGCTGCCTAGGCGTGACGCAACTAAGATGATCGGCCCTTTCTTTCTTCCCTCGCGGGTCCACACCCAGAACCTTCTCTATGGGGTAGAGGGTAGAAGCCCCTACATTCATAGGACTTGACAGGAGCTGCCACATGTTTTTTCGCCTTTGAAACGCTGCAGATTATAACATCGAGATTAAGATGAGAATACCTGGGAAGGACCAGTTAACATGTATGGAGTATGGAGTACAATGTTATGCACAGAATGGACGCGTGTGGGGAGCTGAGAACGCCTTACATGAGAAATGGCTATTAATTGGCGAATGAGCTGCTAACGCCTGGATCTAGACCAATAACAAAACCAATTAGATCCGTAAATCCGGATTGTTTTCCTAGTCGCGTCGCGTGTGTGGACTCTCTGGCTTATCTGATCATGATCAATAGTGGAGACTGGAAATTGGAGACGCGTGGGAATTGATGTCCTGGATTGTAGGTTTATAGAGGTAATGGCGTGGCAATTGCTATTTTGTATATTGGATGTTCGCTATTATTATTACAACAAAGTGTCTAAAGCTTGGAGAAGTTGTATGTATACAGATGTACGGACTAGATAAGATCAGAATCTCAATCTCAATCTACAAAATCCATATGCACAAGAATGGAGCTGGAATGGAGTTGTTAATGGAGCCAAGGACTATCCTTTCGGATGTTGCTGGGATTCCAGTGGCATGAGAAAACAATCGCCCAATTAGGAAAGAAGGGCTGGGAAAAACCAAGGTTGACGCGCCGGATGTTACCTAATCACTGCGCGCGGTCACGTGCGACGTGACTTAGCACGTCGCGCTAAAGAGAAATCGGCAGTACTTAATCAACTTTCTCTTCCCTCGTCCAACTCCAAATTTCCCATCCCACTCTCAAGGCTTCTGTCTCATTCTTACTTGCTGTTCTCAAGTGTTTTTGTGATATTATATTCCTCACATACTTGTTCCAATGGCCGCTCAAGTCACTCCCTCCAAACAGGTACGTGATGTCACGTTTCTCGCCTCTCGCCTCTCGCGTCAGACGCGTCGTGAAGTTCGTTTGAGCTAACATTTATTCTTCTTTAGGCTGCTTCCTCCCTCGAGAACCTCAAGATGAGCGATTCACCTATCAAGAAGCTCGACTTCCAGTCGGTTGACAAGGAAAACGCGCCTGCGTCCCTCAAGCCCGTCGACGCCACCATTGAGAAGCCTACCGAGAAGGCTCTCTCGTCTAAGGCTCTTAGCATCAAGGAGATGGAAGCTACAGAGCCCCTCCTCCAGGAGAACCCTCACCGTTTCGTCATGTTCCCTATCAAGTACCACGAGGTAAGTCACGTCGACGCGTTTCACGCGTAAAGTGGATATCAAGGATATCCTCCCACCAAGAATATCGAAGCTAACTATACCCCTCATTGCAATAGATCTGGCAAATGTATAAGAAGGCCGAAGCTTCCTTCTGGACCGCCGAGGAGATTGATCTCTCCAAGGATCTTCACGACTGGCACAACCGCCTGAACGACGATGAGCGTTACTTCATCTCCCATGTCCTGGCTTTCTTCGCTGCCTCCGACGGTATTGTCAACGAGAACCTCGTCGAGCGTTTCAGTGGAGAGGTCCAGATCCCCGAGGCCCGTTGCTTCTACGGCTTCCAGATCATGATGGAGAACATCCACTCTGAAACCTACTCTCTGCTCATCGACACCTACATCAAGGAGCCTAAGCAGCGTACCTACCTCTTTGATGCCATTGACACTAGTAAGTGCTTCTCCCATTGACTTTATGTTGTTCAATTGTCTAACCTGGCACCTAGTTCCCTGCATTGCCAAGAAGGCCAACTGGGCCCTCCGCTGGATCAACGACCGTGAGTCAACCTTCGCTTCGCGTCTGGTTGCCTTTGCTGCTGTCGAGGGTATCTTCTTCTCTGGCTCATTCGCCTCCATCTTCTGGTTGAAGAAGCGTGGCCTCATGCCCGGTCTCACTTTCTCCAACGAGCTGATCTCTCGTGATGAGGGTCTCCACACTGACTTCGCTTGTCTGCTGTTCTCCCACATGAACCACCGCCCCGACCCTAAGCTGGTTCAGGACATCATTGTCGAGGCTGTCGGCATCGAGCAAGAGTTCCTGACTGACGCTCTTCCTTGCGGCCTGCTTGGCATGAACTCCAAGCTGATGTGCGAGTACATTGAGTTCGTCGCTGACCGCCTGCTGGTGGCCCTCGGCAATAAGAAGTACTACAACGCCACTAACCCCTTCGACTTCATGGAGTCTATCTCCCTAGCTGGCAAGACCAACTTCTTCGAGAAGCGTGTCGGTGACTACCAAAAGGCTGGTGTCATGGCCAGCACCAAGCAGGAGGTCAACGCTGAGGGTGAGAAGGTCGTAAGCGACGGTCTCAACTTCGATGAGGACTTCTAGAAGACGTCCTTCTCTCTTCCCTCTTGTGTTGTTTTATACCCTCTCCCCTTTCACGTGATATTATGCCGTTTTCTTATTCTGTTTTTTTATTGATTGATGCAATTTCCGTTCGAAGGCTCGCATGGGAATGGCGTTTTTTTGTTTTTCTTTTTTTCCTGGTCTATCCTGGACTCTGGTGTCCATGGGTGAGTGACAGGTTCTCTGTATCTAGATGTTTAAATCATATTCAATGTGTCTCTGAAAATATGTCTTTTATCAATGTAGATAACACCAATAATCTTCTCAAAATACATTTTATCAATTGAACAGTCCTATCCTTACGAAGTACTTCAAACTCTTGAAACTCCATTAATCCACAAGACTATGAATTTTGAAAGGCAGCCCAAACTCGAAGGGTATCTGGTATCTCATTCCCGATATCAAAAAGCCTCAATCCCACATCTATGAATGCATCATAAAAAGCAACAAGCGAAAAGAAGCAAATGGATCCAATTCAACCAGTTAATTTAATTTACCGCTTCCCCTTCCCACCCTTCTTCTTCCCCTTCGCACTCTGTCCCTGTCCCTGTCCCTGCGCCTTAGCAACAACCGGCACAACCTCCTCAGCAGGGGCATCAACCATCTCCACATCTGCGGCAGGCACCACAGTCGATAACCCCAACCCCGCTACATCGGCACCGGCAGCCAGTTTGCCCAGAGTCGTAATCAGGCGTCCAACTTCCTGGAGCTTGTTTGTGCGGTAGTGCAGACAGATTCCGGTCGTTGGGTTGAATGTTTTCAGAGTGAGTGTTGCGGTTGCGGTTGATGGGTGGGCGGGTGTGGTGGTTGTACCACCGGTGGCAGTGGCTTTGGCCTCTTTTCGCACTTGGGATTTGTGGGCGCGGATTAAGTTTCCTCGACGGTTTGTGGGGAAGGAGTATTTTGTTACTATGCGGGTCTGGGGGGGTTGTTAGTTTAGATTTGGATTGGGGTTTGCGGGAAAGGTCGAGTGTTCATTGTTGCCCGCTATGGGGACGCGGTGTGGAAGATTGCATGGAAGGGTTTGGGGATAGGGTTATTCTGCTGCTTACTGTGTCTGGGTACGCTTGTAATAACTGCGCTGACTGTTCCAGGTAGGCCTGGGAGGTGGGTAGGTAGGGCATTTTGGAGTGGTGAGTAGAGCTCGCGGGTTTGGGTTGAGAGGTGTGGTGGGATGCGCAGGTTGATGGGTATCTCTTTTTGGTATTGCGGGGAATGCGCAGAATGAAAAGTCGCGGATCAAAATGAGATATCCGCTTAGATTCAGGGCTCGAGGGAGGAATTGGTTGGCGGGAGTGTTGGATGGAGAGAGAGTGTGGAGGTGTTATCAGTGTGCTGGCGGCTTTTTCCATGTCTTGGCATCATGGTTCACTCAACTATACTCCGTACTACACTTCGAGATGGCCGTGGAAGTCTCGATAATTAAAGAGTCTCTAATAGTTTTTTATTCCCTTGCGCTATTCTCATTACTTGAGACTAATTAATCGCAGTCATTAATCCCAAGAGCGAGAACTAAGTCTCTACCAACCACATCTACAACCAATAATCTGAGCTACACCACGCCGATTCGCAGTAAATTGGCCCAAAATAGCTATATTAGACCTTTAAACTCCCTCGAAAGGAAAAGTTTACATCCCCTTTATGTCCCCGTGTATATTTTTCTTTCTCCCTTGTAAAAAGCTCACCACATTGTATTCATACAAAAGTCCTGGAAGCTGGCCAAGAAAAGACAGCATCGTGGTCTAATGTTTTCACCATGGCTAGGATCGGCCGTGGAATTTTTCACAAACTCGCGATCAGGAGCTGTGTTCAGTCGCGAACAAGTTTCCCTGCTTCTATCAGGGATTTGATGAAGGTAGAGATGGCCCGAATGGCAATGCGAGCGATCTTGTCACCATCACCTGCGTCCGGGTCGAAGGAGCACACAGTAAGTGAGGTTGGGAGTGACTGTTTCGGAACGAGCTCCATACAACGAATGAGATCCGACTCAAACATTCCACCAGGAGATGGATAATCATTGACTTTTCCGTAAGATTCGTCCAGCACATCAAGGTCGAGATGAACCAGAGCAGGGCTGTAGTCCTTTTTCTCGAGATGAGCCTGTAACTCAGCCGCATAATCGACCTTGTGTGATGTCTCTCCCCAGATTGCGGTCATGCCTGCATCGATCACGCGTTGTCGTTGCACTTCAGACTGATCGCGCAAACCGCAGTAAAGAAAGCGATTATATTCAAGAGGCTGGTAGCCGGGTACCGATGAGATAAGAGTCTTCCAGCTCTCTCCACGGAGCATAGACAGTCCCATAGCATCGAGATAGCCGTTTTCGTTGACATCGGGTGAATCCAGATCATCATGTGCATCGAAGTAAATGAAACCCAGATCTTTAATCCCGAGGCCACAAGCTACACCCGCACTAGCCATGCAGTTTCCAGAAAGAACCAGTGGGAACTTGCTCTGAGCAACGGCTTCTGTAACGGCTTTGGAGGTACGACGCAGGATTTCAAAGCTGCGTCCAATCTCTCCTTCGAAATCATCAACGGGGTCGATTTTTTGAATGTCGTATTTGATCTGCAGGCGTTCCAATTCATCAAGCAAGCCTAGTCTACGAATCCGGTGTGGTCCGTTTCCCACACGGTGATCGCGAAGACCAACATGGTATGGAGAGAATATAATGGTGATGGCATTCGCGGGCATAGTTGGGGTTTAATGAGATTCCGTATGAAAGTGATATAGAAAAATGAAACTGTATGTTATCTACCTGGAGACAATGCCAAATTTATGTATTTATATAGATGAACCTTGGAAAGTCATATATGAATTTGTAAGCGACTAGAGTCAAATCTCTCCGAACGGGCTTTGAGAGTCAAAACGGGGTTTGCCCAAAACCCACTTTCTCGCAGTGGGGTTCTTATATATAACTCTCTAAGGATGTAGGAATTCCAACAGAATATATGCTTTGATCTGATGATACGGGTAAATTATACTATATCAAGTTTGGCTGTGACAGAGTGCTCGATAGAGGCTCATAATGTTTATAAGGGTCGCAACCATTTCGAGTATTCATGACTCACAGATTGATCATAAGTTAATGATGAGTGGACTGGATGGTTTTTCAAAGCTGCTTCATCTCTTCAAAAGTCCATCAAATTTCATCAACTGTATTCTTCATCAAAACGCCATGGATCGTGTTATCGAATACCAATATCTTCAAGCCCCGGGCTTTGCCCAACTAGGAAATTTCGTCAACCTACCACTTGAGATCCGCTGGATGATATGGGAATGCCTCTTCGATGACATACATACAGCCCCCAATGTCTTATCTATCCTACGTTGCAACAGCTACCTCTACCAAGAGATATCTGACCACCCCCCAAATGCAAAAGTGCGATTCTCTTCATCGCCCTTTTCAATTTTCAGTGTCGAGTATCAACGCGTTGTTATGCTGCGTTAGCAGACAAACGGGAGTCAATAGATCAGTCTGTTCGGCATAAATCGATACTGGAGGAGGTATTGAACATTCGACATGTGGACGATGTGTGGAATGAGTATATCCACGGTAATAGCTGAAGTGACCTCTGAATACAATTGAGATATATAACTTCAGAGCTCCTACTTAATCTACTCTACTGGGGTATATCATTGTTGATGGTAACATTATAACTTCAAGTTTGCCTAAATAAATAGAGTACAACATAATCCATCCATAGAACCTTCGAAGCAGTAACAGTAACACAAATCAAATAAATATCAGCATCCACGAAGGTGATTTGCTGATTGTATACGTTCATCATTATCGGTTACGGAATTTAGCTGCACACGGTCCCCCTGCATCTACATGTCAGCTTATCCAGGAAAGTTTTGGAAGATACAGGAAGCTACAGGAAAGAAACAAGAATACTCTAGAAGATGCAAGGGGTTCTTGGAAGAAACAAGAATCTTCTCAAATCTTACTGTACCAAGGCGTTGTATATATAACCGCTTCCGTTGCTGGTAGCAGAAGTCTTTCTTATTAGACTTCCAACTTCTCACAACCACAACCACAACCACAACCACACTCAAAAACACTCACTATCACCACCATGGTATACCGCGTAATTATCTTCGCACCACGCAAACCCAACATCACACACGAAGAATTTAAAACCCGCTACGAGCAGCACATGCGCATGGTAGCGGGTATCTGCGGCGATGCAGCACCAGTTTCGCACACACGATCGTATCTGAAGCACGACGCGGGATCTAATCCGATGTTGCTGGCAGGGAGTGTCGACGAAACGTACGATGCCGTGGTGACCATGTCATTTGAGGATGAGGCCGGGTTTGGGAGGTTCTGTCAGGCTTTGGATACGCCGGAGGCTAAGGCGATGATTGAGGCTGATGAGGCGGGATTTTGGGATCGGGAGAGGATGAAGGTTATGGTTGTTGAGGATGTGATGGAGGGGCTAGAGTAAGGGGGAGACGGGAGAGGATTTGAGTCATCTTCTTTGGGCGAGTTAAAGATGGATGAACATCCTAGATGCATGTCTATAGCTCTATGAAGAAAGCATGGCCAGGAAGAAACGACCTATACTGGAACAACTATACAATATGCCTAATATCATCTCTCATTGCATCTGATACTGTACACATCCTGCTAGCCCAACGACGAAATATACACATGAACAAAACATATCGACATCAAACATAACTACATAAAACAAAATATCACCATCCTCCAATATATATCAAACAAACAAAACGCCACCTATAATACATCCCAGAAATCATCGTAGATCATAGATCATATATGCATCCACAACGTCAATAAATGCGAAACTCAAGAAACAGGCCGATGACACTCCGAACAAATAAGCTTCTGCTTCCCATCCCTCCCTTTAACACTGCGGAAACTCGTTGCATGACAATTATCACACTTGAGCACGTCTTCCTCTGGATCACCCGTCGAAGTCGTATAGTCACTACTCAGCACACTAGTACCAGAGCTCATCCCGCGCTCGCGCGACGGAATTCTATCCGGCTTGAGGAAGTCATTCGAGCTCCGGGCCTGCATGACCAACGCATCGTGCGTGATCTTATTCCAGTACGCGTAGCTGCGGTCGCCCTGCAGCCAAAGCGGGTTGTCTGGTGCTTTGTTGCTGGCTAGGAGGTCCGTGGATGAGGCGAGTTTTGAGGGTTGGGCTTTGGGGTTTGCGCCGCTGTTGTTGTTTCCGTTTAGCCGGCTCATGTCCCCGCTTTGTAGGCGCGGCGATGGGGGTGGGGATGTAGTGACGATGGATACTGATTCGTGTGGGCCGAGACTTGATGGTCGGGAGGAGGCTAGTCTGAACATCGCCGGGCGGTGCTGCGGGGATGGGCTGCGGGTTTGGACGCCGGAGCGGGAGCCTTCGGTGCTGGAGCGGCCGTGGCGGACGACGGAGTTGCGCCATGAGACGATGCGCTCGGAAGGAGTTTTGTGGGTGGATTCCTTTCCAATGGAGGAGGCGGCGCTGCGGCGTGCGGAGTTGGAGCGTTTTAGGATCCGTCGGGAGATGGTGGAATTGGTGTCCCAGTTTTCGTAGCGTCGTTTTTGATACGCGCAGTCTTGCCGGAGAACTTTGATCTTGCCGGAGTAGTCGGCGATCACAATAATTTCTCCGCCTGGATGTTTGGATCGTGCAAGGTACGAGGGGGATTCGTGGGCCATTTTGCTGACGATGGATAGGCGAGGTGCTGATGCAGAGCGCTTATGGGGTTTTCTATTTTCTTTGCCTGGGCCTGTTGGCTCTGGACCCATCAAGGCTACCGGGGGCGGGTTGCAGATGTCGTAGATTGGATCTTCTGATAGCGCCAGAACCTGTTTCGTTTGGATCGGTGCCATGATTGCAGCTGTTACCATGGCAGACTGTGTCTCGAATACCTCCACAGCCTGCTTTTCAGAATCTCGTTGCACAGACCCAATTGGCCAGACGTATGCCCTGCGATCCTCACTTCCACATATGATGTACTTGCCATCATTGCTGAATGTCGCTCGAATTTGACTGCAAGTGTTCTCATTACCGCGGAATTTAGCCTCCAACGATCGAGAATGGAAGTTATACAGCCTGATGCGGGAATCGTTGCTAGTGACCAGTAACTTGATATCACCCTCGGCATCATCCTTAACATCGTCCTTGGGAACCATCATTGTATCGATTCCAGTGATTTTGCTACCCTTGGAATTGCGCCCACGGGCCGATCGTACATGGATCTGGGCTGATACTTTTAGGCCCTCAGTATCATAGATGTTAAGCATGCCATTCAAACATCCGGCAATAGAGTATCGGCCATCTGGAGTAAATGCCACTGCAGTAATCATATCGGGCACAGAAGTCACAAAGGCCACGCTCTTGTCCGGGATACTCCAGAGGCGCAGTTTTGTATCGAGGGATCCAGCAAGGAAAAAGCGGTCGTCACGAGGGTGGAATTGAATCGAAGTCACAAAATCACTGTGCTGGAAACAGCAAAGGCATTCCGGTCGAGAGATATGCCAAAGTCGTACCGTTTTGTCCATTGACGAAGAGAGAAGGAAGTTATTCTGCCTCACAGGTCAGCACGGCCGTCCCATCGAGTTGAATGTTCGAGTATGCATACTTTACTCCAGCTCAGGTCCAATATACTTCCCGTGTGTCCCTCATACACTTGAACGGGCTCCGGCTGGAACACAGGCGCCTTCAGGCCGGAATTATCTTGTGCGTCTACGGGTGTTGCCTCTTCATCCCCATTGGCATCCTCGCGCTCCTCCGGCGTAGCGATAACAGCCCATACTCGAACCTTCCGGTCCTGGCCAGCGGCCGCGAGATATTTACCATCTTTCGAAACCATAAGTGCCCAGACGGCCTTTCCAGTGTGGTCGCCATTCTGCAAGGCCGACGACGTAGATATCCGTCTATCGGCGGGTTTGGGCGATGGGCTGCTGCCCTCCAGTTCCTGGGCCAGAAACACACGTTTGAACGTCTTATCCTTCTTGTAATGGGCCCGCACCTTCAGGTATTTGGATGGAGGAGGGTGCCGAGGTATAAATCCAATTGGGTGCGAAGTGTCAACGGACATACGGTGCGCCTCAGGTTCCGACGTTTCATCGTCGCCCTCAACTGGCTGGTCTTTTTTCTTGTTTCCAATGATTCGGCTAAGGAAAGAGACACCTTTTCTGTATTTGAAAGAGCAAACCACAGGTCAGTCGCTAGTAATATAATGGTATATTGTGGCGAGAGTCCTGGGGGTGGATCTTCTCGAGTGGACTATGCGGGGGAAGCGCAAAGAAACCGGCACACAAGTTTCGGCGACACAAACCGTCGGCGTAACTGGTCCCAAGGCAAAATCGCAAAACTCACTTCTTCTCTTTAGGTTTTGAGTTAGGCAATGAATCTTTTCGGGTCGGGCTTTTCTCTGGCGGGCTGTACTCGGAGCCCACAGCCTCTGCTTCGTATGAGGCTCTTCCCAGTAGTTTCAGGGGAATGGACTTTTGGGTATTGGTGCGTTGAATAATGTGCTACAATGACAAAGCACGGCCCTCCTGTCAGCTTGGCTCCTGCATGTCCGTATATGCACCTTGATGCGGGTTGTACAAAGCAAAGCACATGACCGGGATGTGTCGGGCAATTCTTTGCAAGTCTGCGAGAGCTTACCTGCGATAAGGGATCTATGGCACTTGACTCTGTCTTCTCGTGTGGGGAATTCGAGATCGAATCTCGTAAAGAGCTACCAATGGCCGAGCGTCGGGGATTCCGGGCATCTTGAAGACTATGAGTCGAGCCTGATGCGACATCCGATGTGGCCGAACCTGTCAGTTCCGTCAGCATCTGGGTCATTGGCGTTCTGTTCTTTTTTGGCGCGTGATATGGGACAGTCCATAGAGTGAGTGGAGTTCTCCAGGCCAGATTCAAATTCTCAAGACTTACCGGGAAATGTCGAGGTTCCGGGGGTCAAATCGGTTATCGCGGGGGTCGCGACTCGTAATGAGAGATTATTTCCCTCCATGTGTTCACATGTACAGTCGCATGGGGGGTGGTAAGAGGAAATATCCAAAATTTCAAATGTAATATGTACAATATACCTTAGAGAGGGAAGAAAGAAAAGTGCGGCAAAGACCGGATAGCGTTGGATGACATCAAATTGGGGCGATGGTGGAGACTTGGACCCCGTTGCTTATTTGGAGATTGTATAAAAGTATAAAATGTATAATTATAATATATAGAATATATTGTATGGAATATATAGAATGTATAGAATCTACTAAACTAAAGCGATTGAAGTTTTCTCGCTCGATCCTTTGCAATATCACACATACCCTTCAAAGTCAGTCAGTATACAGCAACTCAACGATAAGAAAAAATTACCTGAATGGTCTCTTCAATCTCTTTCTCCGTATCGGCGCGGTCAATGCGCTGGCGCATTTCGACCATAATCACCTCGCGACTGCGGCCATGAACAAATGTGCTATATATCTCGAGTCAGTATGTAATAGATCATTGCGCACGAAACGTGGACATACACAAACCGCAAACCTGGAAACTTCTCTTCGTATTCCGCATTCAGTGCCCGTAACTTCTCCGCCTGTTCTTCTGCGCCTTCATTCAATTGGGCCTGTTCCTTTTTGCTCAGCTCGCTCAGGTGTTCTGGGTTGGCTGGGGCCCGACCAAGACGTGGATGCGATCCCAAAATACCAAAGAGCACGTCACGGTCAGTAGGTGAATTTGGAGCTGAGAGGGCAGACATGCGACCCCCTACAGCATCGATGAGGTTGGTGTATGAAGAGAAGGTCTGGTTGGCCAGCACGGGGATCATCAGTCGGTGGAGCTCTGGGGACGGTTCGAAGAGGGTATCGAGTACCCGAAGCTGGGTCTCTTGGGGCAGGGAAGGGATCGTCGATGGTGGGGGGAGTTCCATGGTGTAGTCGAATATGATATGAATATGATTTGAATATGAAGGGGATGTGTTGCAATATAAGTAGAGATGTAGATATCTGGGTTTCCACTTTCGGAGTACGCCGAGGCGGAGAACAGCGGGAATATGCTTCCAAGTTATACATGTATTGTCTATCGTAACTATTGTAACTATTATAACTATTTTGTATTTATATTTAGTGTGTTTCATATGTTTAGTTTGACGAACTCCTTTACCCCAGGTCCCATATCGAGTTCGAGTACAATCCCATCGAGCTCAAATCCAGATGAAATATACGTACATAACATAAGGATTCAATTCAATTGACTATATCCCATTGCAGTTCATTGCAGTTCGTTGCAGTCTTTTTTAGATTGGGATAATCAGAGGTGGAGTCAAAAGGAGCCCCCTGAGCGTTCGCCTAAACCAACTCTGTTTTCATGAAACCGCCAAATCCGCACGGCCTTGATTGGGCTCGCGATCTTAAGATCCAAAGACCTTAAGTTTTATCGTAACTTTCCTCTTCCCATTACATTCGGCTTTGCGCCTCACATCCTCCATGCGGCTCACGCCATGTCTTTGAATGGGCTCGATACTGCCCCCGTCCTCGAAGCCTACCAAGGCGCCCTGGCCGACGCGGGCGGGTGGTGAGTTTACCCCCTTTTGCAGTGTTTCAACCAACTTCACAGTCACTGATACCCCTATGTTTCAGGTTTCTACTACACTATGTTGCAAGAGATGAGGTTGCCCTCCACGAACGAGGCACCGGCGGGGTGCCCGAAATCAGGAATGCCATCGACGGCTACGAGGAATGCTTGCCGCTTTATGGCTTCCTTCAATACCGGCGCAGAAAAGTGATCATCCGCTACATGCCGGAGGGATTATCCCGGCTCATACTCGGTATGTCCATCAACCGCCTTCCATAGAAATTTGTCTAATCCGTCCCAGCCCGAAGCAATGTCCAATTCCAGTCCGTCACCGACAAGTTCACCCCAAACGACACCGTGCTTCCTCTATCCAAAGCCTCCGATCTTACCGAAAGCGCCTTGTCCTCCGCCTGTCTCCTCCATACCGCTTCGACCTCAATCACCTCTTCTTCGAGCTCGCTTCGCCGCCGCCGGCTGATGGAAATCACGGAAGATGCCGAAGAAAATGGCACGAAGGACGAAGCTCCGACACCAATCCCACCTCCCCAGTCCGAGGCCCGACGCAGGCCAAGGAGCGTCAAGTCGGAAGCTACCTTAGTGCCGTCGCCCATTGAACCTCCAGTGGAACCGGACCTACCTCCGACATCACCAGAAAGCGAAAAAGCCTCGGTCGACCTCATGCCACCCCCATCCCGACCGAGCTCCAGAGCCACAATCTCTCGAGGGAGTCCCATCGAACCACAATCCGCAACAATGTCCCCCAGGTCCATAAAATCAGATCGCTCCCGCTCCAGCTCCAGGTATCGAACTATTTTGGACGAATTCCCCCGTCCTTCAGAAGAGGCCCGGTTGTCCACTCAATCCAGTCGCCCCTCGCTCCAAGATTTGGAACGGGCCGCGGGATACACCCCAAAGGTTAAGCTGGGACCCCGACCGTCCGTGGATAGCAGCGGGAGGCCCCGTACAGCAGGCAGTTCTCGAAATGTAGACCAGCGCCCTGTGGCATCCCTGCCGACAAATATGCGCACTTCTTCCGTGCGGAAGCAAAAGGGTGACGCCCCCCGCCCTCGATCTCAGGGGAGCACTTTTGCAAATAAGCCCACTAGTCGTGTTCCGCCAGTCCCACCTTTGCTGGTCCCACCCCCCTCTATTCCTATCTCGAGACCTCAACTTTCCCCTGGCGCCAAATCTCTTGGAGCGTTATCAACCTCCTCGGGATTGACCCCTGAGAAAGAACGTTTGATGAAGGCTTTGCAACAAAGAAGGAAGAATATGGCCAAGCGTGCGGAGGAAACGAACAAGAAGCAGGTCTCTGAGGAAGAGGTCAAACCAGTGAAGGATATTGCTAAGGATTTCGATGACGATAAAGAGAATCTCATTCAGATTCACTATCCTGACGCTGAAATGATGCTGTCTGAGCCTGAGACAATTCAACAAGACCGACAATTCCTTTCGGCAAATTCGCCCGTACCTCCTGAGCCCGCCCCTGAGCTTGTTCTCGAGTTTGGTCTTGAACCCGCCTTCGAGCCTGTTCTTGCACGCGAATCCGTTCCTGAGACCATTATTGCATCTGCTCCTGGGCCTGTCGTTGAGGCAGTCGCTGAGCCCATTCCTGAACTTGTTTTTGAGCCCGTTGTCGACACAATTGCTGAGCCCAGTCGCGAACTTGCCCCTGAGCCCGTTGGCCTATCTCCCGAGACTGTCGAGTCAATCGGTGAACCAATTTTTGAGTATGCTGCGACCCCTGAGCCAGAGCAGCCTTCTGAGCCTCTTGAGGCTGAATCAAGACCGATCACCGACCTTACTCCTACCAACGCCGAGGATGGGCCATGCTCATCTGCGGACACAAATAGCGACAATCCCATCCCAGCCGATCGCGCTGCTACACCAGAGATTGTCAAGGCGGAAACATTGCAGACAGCCCCTGAGGATGAAACGCGCACTGAGCACGAGGACCCCGCAATGCCCAGTCTCGCCCCACCTACCTTTAATCTTGACGTTCCACCTCAAAATGAGCCTTCGGACGCTTCGCGACCTGATTCAGACGTCCCCGAAACACAATTCAAAAATTCCTCAGTTGCGCATGTGCCAACTGACGAGCCTTCTGAGGTGCCTATCTCAGCAGAGGTCCTTCAGGCGGTTCCCCTCCCCTTACCCTCGACTACCCCTCCAGAAAGCACTGGCATAGAAATCCCAGCTGCCCCCGTTCTCGTCTCAATTGAGGTGGACGAGCCGACTCCTGATCACTCAATTACCGAGAAATCCGAGCCTCTCCCCCTGGATCAGAGGCGCAAGGTCCGTCTGGAGCCTATTCAAGTGCCTACCCCAGACTACTCGGACGACGACAACCTCCTTTCTGACGATTCATTCATGGAGGAATTAACCTCAGCTACTGTCCAGGAGGCCAGACCGGTATCTGTGAAATCTCCCAACAGCGGCGATCACGCTTGGAGGAATTCACGTGCCGTCTCGAGCCCGTTCTCTATGGGATCACCGTCGAGTATGCAAGCTCTGGCTGTGGGCCGGTCCATTTCTAGCTCTCACTCTGAAAATGGCCCGCATACGCCCGTACTCATGGCCAAGAAGATCAACGTCTCCTCTGGAATTTCTAGTCGTATCAAGGCGCTTGAAAAGTTTTCGAGCCGGGAAGGCACTCCCTTGGGCGCGAGTCCGGCTATGAGTGGGCCATCGGCCGCCTCGTCTTTCGAGAACCTCCGCAAACGCGCATCTATCTCGATGCCCAGTGGCAATCACGACACTCCATCAAGCACAATGCATTCTGCTCATGTCCCCAACAGCTTTTCCCGTGCGCCGAGCATGAGTCGGCACGAGCGTCGGGTGTCTGTGGATGTTACACGCCCTGCTAACTCTGTTTCCGTAACGGCCCGTATCTTGCGCGATGCAGATACCTCTCCCGGGTCTTCTGGGCTTGAGCCCTCGGAGTCCGATCTTCTCAACCTCCAGGCTAGTCCTTTGACCGTGGAGCACGAGACATCCGAGGCACCACTCCCTCAGGTCTCGTCTATCGAGCCTGCCAGTCTTCCCCAGGACCGAAGCATGTCTGTGTCATCTACTACATCTAGTCGTCAAGCGACGTCTCGCCCCGGCAGCCGCCCTAATAGCCGTCCTGGAAGCCGCCCCTCTCTCCCTTCGCGCTCTAGGACTGACGACAGCATCCAATCTGCCTCTCCCACGCCCGAAGATAAGAAGGCATCTCGCACCTCGCGAATCATGCGCCGCATGTCATCGATCACATCCAACTCTCGCCGCAGCATTATCGGAGCCCTTAGCTCACCAGTCAAGGAAGAGTATGTTCCCACCTTCACAAATGGATCTAGTAAGGCTCCAGGGTCTACTAGCTCGCGTACTTCAGAGCCCATTGACATTGGCGAGGTGAACGTCCAGTTCCCAGAAACTCTTCTGTGGAAGCGTCGTGTCATGCGCATCGATGAAGAGGGATACGTTGTTCTCGCCCCTGGCACCAATGATGCCACCACCCGGAGCATGACTAAACGCTACCATCTCACCGAGTTCCGCACTCCTTGTCTTCCCGATGAAGACATGCAGGAATTGCCCAACAGCATCTTGCTTGACTTCTTAGATGGAAATACGCTCCAATGTGCTTGTGAATCCAGACAGGGACAAGCTTCTGCTCTTCGGAGTAAGTATCCAGCATTCTTCAAAATCGGAGAATAAATAGCTAATCATCAACAGCTCTCGTCGAGGCTCACAGTGCCCACCAGCAATAATCATATTGTCCAAGGACAGGACTTCTCACGCCGATAGTCCTATCCTCCATTTTCATTCTCTTCTAGGCTTCATCGCCCACCTTTTTTTTTCCTTTCCCGCACGCATCTTGCTGAACCTCCTTCGAGATCTCTTTCCTATCTCTTCTACCTCTCTGTATCTCTATCTCTTTTCTCTTTATCTCTCTGGTGTGTATGTGTTGTGATAAATGTGGCATGTTCTTGGTATACCCCCCCGAGTCAAAAGAGCTTCTCTTTTTCTTTTCCTTTCCCACTTCTCTCAATACCAATCTACTGTTCTTCGACATGTACAGACAGACAGACAGTATTTCTTTGCCCTTCCTTTTGCTCGCTTTTTCTTATTTTCATCTTGCATACACACTCCGTACCTTTGCATAGAGTGTTGGTGTTCTATTCAATCCACTGTGTTCTTTTCTCTTGAGTTCTAGAAGTTTCATATTCTAATCTATCTTCTGATATCTTGCATACTAAAATTGGAATGTGTATTTAATGGTTTCTTTGGTTCTACCTACTTTGGGCGGGGGTATCAAGTGGAAGAAATAAAAGCCCAATCCGAAATAATCTTCAGCAAAGTATCCGTCAAACCTCTAGGGCTGTGCATGTCTAGCAAATTCGTTCTGTAGGAGGTATCCTTCTAGCGCCCATCGCCTTTATTCCAAGGTTATATTCACCAGTGGTGAGTATAGCTTGGAATGTGGGTATCTCTGTCGACAAAGCAGATCGTTAGAGTGTTGACAGTTGTGAACGAGAAGTAATTTAATAACTTACTTGAAAGGAGAATTCTGTATGTGCGTGGCGCTGTGTTCTAGTCCCGTCCACTAGTTCCGATGTGTCTTGTAATCGTCCAAGTCTAGGGATGTGAGGGGTTGACGGTTCAACCGTATTTCCGATTTTCAATTTCCGATGATTGTCATGGCACATAACGATCGTTAATTCCAGGCCGAACAGATCAGGTGTAGCCGTTCGCGAGATCCTCAAGCTCCTGATCTTCATCATCCTCTTCATCCTCGTCAATCTCCCCTTCTAATCCCTCGGCCTCTGGAATCGATGTATCTTCATTCAGGGTATCTTCACCGTTCTGAGCCGTGCCATTTTCTTTACTTGCAGAATAGAACTCCGGGAATGCAGCGCGCATTTGCAGCACATGTGCGTCAACGACGTATTGCATGAGGTTGTTGACCGGGAAAGAAGAATGCATGCGTTTCTCCGATTCCATCAGCTCGACCTTCATCTGCATCTCCCACTCGTGCTCTCCGGCATGGTCACCAATAAGCTTCTTGCGCTCGATTATGTCGGTGATCGAAATCAACTTCTCGCATCCCGGCATGCGACATGTCCAGGTATCAGATGTCTCGTCGATAAATTCTTCAATATCCTGTGGTGTATCGGGAGTTGGATCCCGCTCGGAGGTCAGAAGATTCTGGCTTGTTGGCGAGGAAGATACGGGAGGAGTCTGGAGTTTTTCTTTTTTGATATTGTCCTTGAACAGACTCTTCATAAGGGAGGAGCTGGCGCCGCTCGAGGAGGCTGCCAAGAACGAGCGAGTCCGAGGCTTTGTGGCTGCGAATGGATCTCTGATTAACTCATGGCCGCGGGTTTTGCTGGGTGTTTCGATCTCGTCGATTTCATCGGTGTCCTCTTGGTCTTCCTCGTCGTTGGATTCAACTGTCTGCTGGTTTGTTGAGGCATTGCGGTTACGCTTGCCGGTCACTTTATTGGAGACTGTGTGGACTTTTGGGCGTAGCACGGACTTCTGAGTCCGGCCGTACCGTTCATCGTCGCTGGATTCTTCCTGCGGATCCAGGGGGTTTAGGAGTGCAGCTGGCAGAGGGGCGGATTTCGTGGATGCATGTGTGAGTTCCCTATGGATGACATAGCGAGGCCATCTAAAGTCCTCTTCATCCATCATTTCCAGCACGGCATTTGCCCTGGTAGCAATAATTTTCTGAGCATCTTCGTTGCTGAAAGAGAATCGATCTGCGAAGCGTTCTCCCAGGAGGTCAATATGCAGGCGACGCTTTGCCAAGTGACCTTCTTCTCTGAGGTCCTTGAGTAACTGATAGATGGCATCGGCTTGTGATTTTGAGATTGCTGCAGGCTGATGTTGAGGAGTTGCCACTTCAGGTTCGTCTTGAGATTCGGGTTCGCTTTCCTCAGAGGGTGAAAGCTCCTCCATCAGCCTATTATAATCATCCTAGGCTAATTATCAGTATGCCCATAGGCTATTGTTAACGAGGGTACTTGATTTTACTCACATTAAATTGGCGACGCAGATGAACGAAGACATTTGTCTTCTTCCATTCGATATCTGCATCACCTTGGATCATGCAGCGAAGCAAGAAGGCAGCATGTATCGCAAAGACCTCAGCTGACTGTTCTCGGGTCTCACATGAGCCATATGTGTGGTAAGTGTACTAAGGGCGGATGAATATTAGGCTCTCGGTTTACATAGCGCATAATACAGAATTGAAAGACTCACTTGTTCACAGAGATTCCTAAAAGAGGGATTGATCTGTTTCTTTCCTTGCCGATGCTTATCGACCAGGAAATACAGCATGTCAATGGCCTGGACCATGCGATTGTATGTGGGTGTGAAACCCTTGGCGGGCGAAATGATGTCGTACCAGCCCGCCTTACCAGCAACCCAGAGCTCAATGCTCTTATCTTCAGTTTGGCCGTAGGCATAATGTGTGACCTCGTCAATAATAATGCGCTTAGGGGGGTTATCCGGTTTGAGCACTGGTGAGGAAGTGACTGGTCAGCAAGCTGCTTGATAAACGCGCATTGATACAACGATACACACCTAAGTGTTCTTGGTCCTCACGAAGTGGCTCTAAGCAGCCGATCACCTGCACTGGGTTCTGTTCGGTGGCGTCCAGTAGATTTGCATATAGCATCTTTCCAGGCTTTAGCACCTTCACATCGGTTAGGCCGAACTCCCACCAATCATTCTCATCAGTGATAGAGGGATCGGTGGGAGCTAGGACGGTTTCTTCGCGGGACGTCATGGTGGAATTGGCATGGTGGGTTTCGCCAACGATGTAGGAATACTGATAGTGAGGTGAAGTCAAGTAACTGAGAAAATGAGAACCAGAAGAAGGTGAGTTGGAATGGAAGCTTGTAGTTGGAAGTCATCGATCACCAGTAAATTACGGATACAACCAGTTACCCGCAATTAATTACATGGAGTTTCTGCCTAAATTATCGGGAGGTTATGCCATCACGTGTGCATAATTACATAATAATTTAAGGTTAGTTACAGTCAGATCCACGGGTCTGATCTAAATTAAACTCCGATCTGGATATCGGACTTTTGAAAGGCTACCTGCATATTTATGTGTATTATGTCTTGGTGCCAGGCATATTTGGGCATCTTCAAGGCTTCCCTGAAATTACAAAAAGTTGGAAGACTGAAGCCATTCCTCCCAAGTGTCGGTATTGTCGACTCTAGTATGTATAAGGTTCGGGGTCCAGCTATTCTCTTTTTGAGGGCTCGGCTCTTTAATCTCTTCGTTCACAAAGCCGATCAACATTGTAGTATCCTCTAGGTGAGCATCGCATTGTTGGTATTTGGGTGTAATCTAAGTCAAGAGAGAGTTTCTTGTCTATGTTCGAGAGCAGTACCAGGATGAAGGACATCAGCTTCGGTGTGCAAAAGTTCAGGCCTAAATAACATTCTTGTCGGTGTCATATTAGGAAGAGCAAGGTCAACCCATCTTAGTCCAGGCCTATCACTTCTAGGATTATCCTAGGCATCGATTGAGAACGAGGCGCCGATGGTTGCCAATGTCGCCGCGGAACTAGAAAGAGCCAGAGCTCTCGCATCAGTGATTATTGTATAGTTTATACTGTCATGATGGCAGATCTAAGGGCTTCTAGGCATAGAGTCATGTCTAGCATTGGAGATAGGAGAACCTTGTTGAATGGAAACTTGGCTGCTGCACCCCGACAGAAGAGGAGGAATGCGTTGGTTAATCACAGCCACCAGGTAGAGACTTGTTCATTTATTTATTGTATAAAGTCAAAACGATCTACAGCTACAGGACAGAGTATTCAAAAAGTATGAATCTTGAATCACTATAACTAGTCAGCGTATAGTGTAGGATAGTATGTCAAGGGGTACGGCGTTTTGAGACTATTAGGGGCGTCCTTAATTATTTGCATAGAAATTGGGTTAAAATCTTGACTTTCACTTTATGTCTGTTAATATTTTTTTTTGCTATGGTATAAGAGAAAAGAGAGTATGAAAAATGACCTCTATAAGCACGTCAAAGAGATCAAAAAGGATGCCTTCAAATTGCACCTGAAAAGAAAACTAAAATGATACCGAGGCCTTTCATCTATATAATACTATAAATATATACATATCCCGATTAATGATCAGGAAACCTATATATCAATTAGGTCAAAATCATAGCAATCGCCTTGTCGTGGTCCTAAAGAACTGCCGTAAAGGCGGGAACCAAATCTCTACCAAAATCACTTTTTTCCATTTTGGTTCAACCCCCATCTCCCAGATGCCATTCCCCCCAGGTTTTCGACTTTTTCGCAACACAATGTCTGGCGAGAAGATCCTAGAAGGCGTATTCGGTAAGCTTGAATCCCACTAAAGCAAGACCTCAAACTAACTTCTCCGATAGCCGTCCACAAGCCGCAAGGCGTTACCTCCGCCGACGTGATCCGCACATTGCAGAAACACTTCAACCCCTCCAAGACCTTCAGACCATGGTTAGAAGAGGAACGCGCCCGCCGCGAACGTGAGAGCCAATTCCAGCGCAAACGCCGTCGCCACCAACGCCTCGACGTGAAGATCGGCCACGGCGGAACCTTAGACCCGCTCGCGACAGGCGTGCTCATCACCGGAATTGGCAAGGGCACAAAGTCCCTCCAGGATTTCCTGGCCTGCACCAAGAGCTATGAAACTATTGTGACCTTCGGCGCGGAGACGGATACCTACGACCGTCTTGGAAAAATTGTGCGTCGCGC